TTGGCCGGCTGTGCGTGGGGGTACAGGGGGTGGCGTAGCGGCGCCAGCTGGACTGGCCGCGGGCGCCATTCCCATGCAGACCCTGCAGCCACACGTGTCACCCGCCGCCATTGCGGAAAATAGTCGCAGAAGGCCCTCCAGCTTTCCCCCACCCCCCTCGGTCTCCCCTGCAAGGGGCAGGGGCAGAAGGGCCCAACAGTGCTGAGTGGCCCTGGCTGGCCCCAGTGCACTCCCTCCGCCGGGCCCCCCCACGGCGTCCCAGCAGAGGCCAAGCCTGGAGCAGGGCTCGGGAGGGCCACGGCTGCTTCTGCCCCCATGGGCCACACAGCTGGTGGCTGAGAACTTTCCCAGTCATGGTCGCAGCGGGGGTCTGGGGTGGGCGCCCTTCTTGGGTGCAGATGGCAGAGGCAGGGCCCTTCTCCAGCAGCAGGGCCTAAGAGGGCAGGCAGAGCTGCCCCTGCTTGCTGCTATCACAGTGGGGACAGACGCCCTCTCCCAAAGTACTTCTCAATCCCACCACCTGGACAAAGCCACCCTTGCCTCTTGGCCCCCTGTTGACAGGGTCCTCTCTGCCAGGTCCCCCATCAGAGGCCTGCATGGAGCCCCAGATCACCCCCTCGTACTACACGACGTCAGATGCCGTCATTGCCACGGAGACGGTCTTCATAGTGGAGATCTCCCTGAGCTGCAAGAATAGGGTCCAGGTGAGGGCTGCCAAAGGACCTGGCCAGTTGTCCTGTGCGATTGGCCAACGGTGGCAGCATTGGGGCTTTCCTGCACCCATGGGGCAGGGTGTGTGTGTAGCAGTCTGAGCTGGGACCTGACCCCTGACCCATTTCCCTCTTCTGGGGACCAGAACACAATTCCATGATTCCATGGCAGGTGTGGAAGCACAAAGAAGGAAGTTGGGCCTTTGGGGGCACACCCCCTTGGGTTTCCTGTTTGCCTCCAACTTGCTGTGAGTGATGTGAACCTATAATGTCCCTCAGGGAAGGGCACCCTAGCAACTGCAGCTGTGTCCCCCACGGCCCCCCTCTGCTGTGGATCCTGGGCACTGCTGAGTCTCCCATTGGTGCCTTTGCCTCCCAGAGAGGGCAGAAGTGACCCTCCTTTACCCACTCCCCCAGAACATGGCTCTTTATGCCGACGTCGGGGGGAAACAATTTCCTGTGACTCGGGGCCAGGATGTCGGACGCTACCAGGTAAGGGGAGGTTCTCGAAGACCCTGGGCTGCCCCCTCCCTCCCTGTGTCTGCTGACCACCCTTCCCTCCCTCAGGTGTCCTGGAGCCTGGACCACAGGAATGCCCATGCAGGCACCTACGAGGTCAGGTTCTTCGATGAGGAGGCCTACAGTCTCCTGAGGAAGGTGAGTGCATGCAGGCCGTGTTCAGGTGGCCACAGAGGGGGGCCTCGTTGGCACCCCTGAACCCAGCTCTTCCCCTGTAGGCGCAGAGAAATGACGAGGATGTCTCCACTATCCTGCCCCTGTTCACAGTCAACATAGACCACCGGGTGAGTGGCTGGAGGGATGGGGCGGCAGCTGGCCTGCCTGACTGGGTGCCTGCCTGCTTCCCAACCAGCTGGCTCTCCCTGCAGGGCACCTGGAATGGGCCCTGGGTCTCCACCGAGGTGCTGGCAGCTGTCCTGGGGCTGCTCATCTACTACCTGGCCTTCAGCGCAAAGAGTAACATCCAAGCCTGAGGCTGCTACCCTCTTTCTTCTGCTTTCAATAAACATGGGCACAGGACTCTGCTTGTATTGTTGCGGCGCCTTCCACCCTTCCCCAGCCCCCAGCCTATGTCTTCTTCACACTGCTCCCTGGAGTTGCGGGCTGAGGCGGTGTCCAGGGTCTAGGGGCTTCTCCCCTGCTCGAATGCATCCCTGGGGGACTAGCCTTCTGCCAGAACACCCTCCTATGGCCAGTCTACAAAAGAGCCCTCTGCCCAGGGCTGGGGAAACAGGTGGGAGGGCTGGTCCAGACCCAAAAGTCCCTTGGGGAGCTCTAAGATGACACATGCAGGTCCAGACACCTTGGGCTATGTTGGGTGCTCTGAGGCCCAGCCCCCCAGCTTTCCTTGTTCATGAGCCTCTGCATCAGTGGGGGTATTGAACACTACTGTGCCAAGCCATCTCTCCAACAACCAGCTACAGCCACACTGTCTACAGCCCCCTTCTCCCTGCAGTCTGGAGACTGGCCCAAGTGGGGATCTCTCACCCTGGAATGTGAAGAGAGAACAGAATCCCTAGAAGCTCTTGCCTCCGAGCCCCCCATGGAGGTGATATCCCATTGGACCCAGGCCTCATGGGTGGTAGTTTGGGTTGGGCTCCGTGGAACTGGTCTCCTCCCTTTCTGTGACAGCCTTCAGAAGGAGTGTGGTCTGGGCCAGGGAACTGAGTTAACGGCATAAAAGCTGCACTGGTTCCCCCAGGATCTCTCTGGGTAGAACTTAAACTTGTGCTGAGAGGCAGTTACAGTTCTAATGGCTGGGGACCTAAGCACCCAATACAGGACACCAGCAGCTGCGAGGGCCTTGAGATCCCAGGAGGTTGTGAGACCACTGAATCCAGGGTAGAGAGCCCCTGGCAGGACAGGGGTGAGGGACCCACCTGAAAAAAAGCAGGTCCGTGGGGTGTGGGAACACTCCCCTCCTTGGGAGATGAAGGGGTGGGCCTGGCTTGGCTGGATGGTACAGTAGAGACTTGGGCTGAGGGACCAATCAATTACCAGGCCAAATCTTGTATGAAGAGCAGAGGTGGGTGCTCAGGGGCCCGTTGGTGCTAACAAGTACTCACTTGGTGCCAAGGAGGCAGCTGCCAGTGCAGGCTGTGGGCGACTGGTGAGCACGGCAGGCACAGGCAATTGCCTGCCAGTGCTGCTCTTTTGGGTTTTGGCCTCACCCCCCACCCCCACGGGCTTAGAGCCACTGTTGAAGGCCTGCAAGCCAAGTGCGGCCAGCCCTCCTGGCTCCTCTGCTGCTACTGCAAGCCACCAGTACTGGTTCCCGCCACATGCTTTTCATGGCCAAGGGACTCCTGGTTCCCAGCCTGGCTGTGCCAGAGATAGCTGGGTGCTGCCAGGGCTGTCACAGGGCGTCCCCAGCAGCTCCAGAAGGAAAGTGCAGGCACAGCTGACCTTGGGCCCCCCTTCCCAATTCCCTGAAGGGCCACTGGTGTTTCAAGCCTATTTGGGACCTATGCCCCCAGCATCCACAGCTGACCAGACCCCTCCTGTCTCATCCAGATTGGCTCTGAGCACATGGCCTGTCTGCAGGGTCCCTAGATATAAAAAGTAGTTTCTGACCTGGTAACCTGACCCCCTGCACCCACCTCCGGCCTCTTCCTCATAGCATGTAGAGTTGGACTCCATTTTTCCCCCTGCTCCTGAGGTGAGGACCCAGTGGAAACAGACCTTAGCTTTGTGCACATGCAGTGGCCCTGGTGCTCCTGGAGACCAACCCTTGGCCTAGGCGGCTTCAGCTTCATCCTGGGGCCATGCACCATATCTGTGCTCTCATGCCACACTGCCTACGGCCTCAGCTACCAAGAGAAGCAGTGACCTTCCCGTGGCTCTCCATGTCCTGGTGTCTGTCACCTCCCTGGACTCTGGACCTGCACACAGGAGTAGTGTTGTGCCTCACTCGGACAGCGCGGCCCTCAGCCAGCCATAAGACAATGACCACAAGAGGCCAAGATTCGACTGAATTAAAAGGCAGCTCGCTTTATTCTGGCGGTGCAGGTGGGGCAGGGCCGGGGCACTGCCAATCAGAATCTCTAAGCCGGAAGAGCCCCAAGGGTCCCCGAGGCCAGCTCTCATTGTGCACATGGCCCCAAGCTGGCCTGGCCTGCCTGGCCATGTCCCCCTCTGTGATGAGGGCCCTTGTCCCCTTCACACCCTCTGCTGTCATCCAGCTCCTCAGCCTCAGGCTTCTGGCCCTGCAGGAGCAGGTAATCTGTGGTCTTAGCCACCAGCAGAGGGAGCCCCTGTTCCTACGCAGCTTACATAGGCCACCTTTCCCCACCCCTCCCCTCTCCCGGGCCCTCCCCTTTCCTCCCCTCCCCTCCCGACCTTCTTCCCAGCCTCACTGGGCGGGGGCCACACGCGGTCAGGTGGCCAACCCCCAGCGCAAGTCCACAAAACAAAAACAACTATCAGCAAGCACAGAAAGGGCAGGAAACCACAAAACTGGGGACACTCTGTCTACCAATCACCAAGGCTCCTAGGGGTGGGATGGCCGCTTGGCCCAACAGTCCTGCACGGCTTCCTCTGCAGCTGCACGTCCCATCATGTTGTGCACACGGCCGTGACCTCAGATGCACGTGGCCCTGTGTCGACCACACTAGCCGCTGGAAGGGTCAGGGCAGTCTGCATTGACACTGGCGATGAGGCTCAGACAGTGGTGACCGAGAGCAGAGGGTTGTAGACCCTCTTCCCGTCGGCCGAGCGAGCCCCATGGGCCAGCATCTCCTGGATGGTGATCCAGTTGTCCAGGATCTTCTTGTTCCGCTTCTTCAGGGTCTTGCGGTGGCTGAGGGCGATGATATTGAGCTCGGCCTTGCCATCGCCGCCCTGCTGCTCCCGCAGGCACTCCAGGCGGCTCTGCATCATGAGCTCACGCCGCTTGCGCTGCTCGCGGGCGCGGATCAGGTGCTGCTTGCGCTCCTCCTTGCTCCAGTAGCGGCCCATCTTCATCTCACTCACCGCATCGTCGTCGGTCGTCATGCCACTGCGCTCCTCGCGGATCTTCAGAGCACGGGCCTTCAGGAGCCGGTCACGCACCGGCCGCTTGGCCACGTAGCGGGTCCCATCACTGCGCACCTTCACCTTCCACTCCATACGAGGGGCTTCAGAGCCCGGGGCCACAGTGGGCACCCGCGGGCTGCCTGCCAAGGTCAGGGGACCCTGGGCCAGCTCCCCTAGACCCCGAGCAGAGGATAGTGTGCCACAGTGGAAATGCTCGCCCTCCTGGCCCTGGGCACGGGGGCGCCGGGAAAGGTAGGGGCTGCCCTCAGGGCCCACTCGCTCCAGGGTAGCCCCACTCTTGGGACTGCAGCGAACCCGCTCCTCCGAGTGCTGTCTCCGGCCCACATCGGCATCACGGGACAGGGAGCGGAACTTGGCAGGACTCCCTTGCGTGGTGGCCGCTTTCGATGGGGTGGGGCCAGGTACGCTGGCCACAGTCCGGTTCAGGTTGGAGTTGCTGGAGGAGGCGGCGCGGCGCAGGGGACTCTCTGGCAGCGGCTCAGTGAGCAGGGGTGTGCTTCGGCAGCTCTCCCCAGTGTTGTAGGCGCTGGTGCTGTCTCGGTCCGACTTCTCGGGCAGCTCAGAGATGTCGGAGAGCTCATGCTTCGGGGGCTCACTGGCCCCCAGTGCATACAGACCTTCCTCCTCCAGCAGCCAGGCCTTCATGCAGCGTTCCCGCAGCTGCTGCATCTTCTGGGCCCGCAGAATGTTACGGCACTTGAACTCCAGGTGTCGCAGCTCCTCCTCCAGCATGGCCACCTCGTGGCCCAGGCTTTCATTGCGATTGACGTCCAGGGCACTGGGCCCAACAGCAGCACGTGGGAAGAGCAGGCCCAGCGGGTTGCCGTTCTCCAGGTGGCCCCTGATCTCCAGCAGTTCCCGGTAACGCTCGCACTCCTCATCAGTGAGGCCTGGGACGTCACTAGCGCCCAGTCCAGCGCCCTCGGCCAGCAGAGAGTCCATGCTGAAGTGGAAGTCCCGGCTCTGCAGGGCGTCCCCCTGGAGACCAAACTTGCGCAGGCTGCCAGGGGTGTTGGTGGCGCTGGGGGGCTCGTCACCCAGGAGGTCATGCTCGGAGCTCTCCTCGTTGCGCGTGCTCTCGTCAGTCCGGCCCACCCCGCTATCCAGCTCCTGGCTGTTGCTCAGGCCCGGGCCCCTGGTCGGGGCCACCTTTTCCTCCTCATTGGCCAGCTGAGGCAGAGAGACAGGCTCATTGGTCCTCTCCTCAGCCGGTCCAGGGTCAGGCCCGGCCGAGGCCCCTGGCTCCCTCTCGCCCTCACTCCGACTCACGGCCTGGGCAGAGGGTGATTTCAGCTTCGGGGCCCGGGACTCCCCCTCATTCTCTGAGCCAAAGTCATCCAAAAAGTCGTCCCGGTCACTGTCCTTCCAACGCTTCGTCAACTGTAGAGATAGCCAGGGGTTTTCCCCACTGCTTCCTGGCCCTCCCAGCTGCGCCCCAGCCTCATAGCATGCAGAGGGTCCCACCCTGACCACCCCAGTGGGGGCGCCCACACACCTCGCTCTCAGGCCGGGCCAGGAGCAGGGAGATGTTGGTGTTCTCCTCCTGGCTCAGGACGGCCACGGCCTCTTCCCGGTTCTGCACGGCCACGCCGTTAATCTGCAGGGGGTGGGTGCAATGAGCAAGGCTGCTACCCTGAGCCACGTGGCTCACGTGGGAAGGGAGGCGCCGGAGGACAGAGAGCAGTAGAAAGCAAGGCTTGGGACAAAGGGCGGGGATCCTGGTGGGACTAGGCTGTCGGGAGGCCAGGGGTGGGGTCTTCCTCACCTGGATGATACGGTCACCCTCTCGGATTCGGCCATCCTTGGCAGCAATGCTGTCGGGATTGACCTGCAGGCACACACAGCCCTCTGGCTAGTTGCCTCTCCCCAACTTGGGAGATAGGATGTGAACTCGCTGGGTTAGTGAGAGTGTGTAAGGCCGCTAGGAAACTGCTTTCTCAGGAGACATCAGACACTTGCTAAATACCAGGGGACAGGAGCAGGACAGGCAGCTCCTGGCTCCTTCTGAGAAGGTATTGGCTGGGCCCCACATGGGGTACTTAGGCAGTGGTTCACCTGGCGGTGGATCCCGGTGGGGGGTGTGTGCAAAGGCAGGATGGCGGGGGTTCACCCACAAGAGGAAGCCCCTCCCTCTACCTCTCCAACGTAGATGCCCAGGTCCTCTTCGTCGTCTGTGCGGTAGCACACCATCAGGCCCAACTTGTCCCGGTGGCTGGTCTTATACAGCTCCACCTCCTGCCGAGGGGTGGGAAGAGGCACTGAGCCCCCCCCCCCCCCCCCCCCCCCCCCCCCCCCCCGCCCCTCCTCTAAACAGTATCCAGCTGATCTGTCCACTTGTGAAGGGTTAGAGTCTAGCCTGTCCATCAAGTTGCAGCTTGATGACCTCATTTGGGAGCAGGATGGAGATAAATAGCTCACTGGAGGCGAACACACTCTCTCTGCATCCTTTCTCGCTACACATTGCTGTTGACAAGCCACATAGAGCTGCACTGGTAAAGCCAGAGCCCTGGGGCTGGAGGAGCCATGTGGAGACCCCTGCCAGCGCTAAGATGCTCCTACCACCACTGTACCACAAGACTTTCCACCCACTGGCCTGTGATCTTCCTGCATTTGTCATTATTGCATGGCTACATGAGTCTGAAGAGGGCTTTATAGACTGGTATCGGACATATAGGCTAATATCGGACTTAGGGACTTGAGCTGGACTGGGCTGGGATGTTTTCTTAATAAATAATTGCTCTTTTATATAAAGCTCTTTCTTATACACACATGAGTGTCTATGAATTTGTTTCTCTAGTCCACCTGGACTAACACCAGCTCCTCAAACCTTGAAGGGTATTGAATGTTCTCCCTTGCCCAACACACACACAAACACACACACACACACACACACACACACACACACACACACACACACACTTACCCACAAAGACTGTGCTTAGGCCCCTGTGGCCCTTCCAACAGCTCCTGAGGCAGCTGCTAACTGTAAGCATGTGGCAGGTCACCAGGCCCCCCCAGTGGGCACAGCTGCAGGCACTGACCTGACTGGCTCAGAGACTGCACACTCACCTCATACTCCAACTCATCCAGCCGGTCGGCCTCCTGCTGGGTGCCCTCCATGAACTCCGCAGGGTCGTAATACTCATGGCTGATGGGAGGGCTGCCCAGGAGAATAGGGGTCAGACAACGGGGGCCCTAGCTCGCCACTCCCGGCGCAATAGGCCCCTGACTGCTTCCTTACAAGCCGCTCCTCTGAACTACTTGCACCCATGCGGAACCCAGAGATGTTCGAACAGGCATGGTCAGGGTCCACACAGAGCCCTGGCTCCTCCCACCATGCAATGCCCCCAGGAGTTTGTGGGACTCCCTAGACCACCAAGGCTGCTCTCTGGCCTGAGGCCAGGAGGGGCTGCTGGCCGGCCGCCTGCCGCCCCGCGGCCTACCTCCCTGCTGAGGAGGGTCCTGGCCCATGGCCCAGCAGCCGGTCCCGAAGACAGGCTCACGCCCAAGAAAGAAGTCAGAGAGATGGAGGATGGGACAGACAAGGATGCAAGAGGGTTCAGAAGGGGATGCTGGTGGCGCGGAAGGCGATGGGGCGGCAGAGGAGAAGAATGAAGGAGGAGAAGCTGGTGACCTCGGCCTGGCGGTCCCGGTAGCCAGGTCCCAGGATGGTCCGCCCTTGGCCCTGGGGGTAGATACAATGGGGACCAATATGTCAGCCTCCCCTCAGCTCTGTCCCCATCACTGGCTGGGGGCCAGAACTTCGGGAAGAGGCCGAGGCGGGGCTGCAGGTCACTGAGGGGTGAGCTGGGACCAGGCCTGGGTGGCGTGGGGCCAGCTGCCCTGGGGTCATGCCCCTTTGAGGCAGGGCCCGGGGCCCTCCTGAGGGCAACTCACAGCTCGGAAAGGACGTACGGCTCCAGGATGACCATTGGCGGGGTGGGCGGGCGTAGCTTGCCCAGCGCCATGATGTGCTGAAAGGTGATGTCCGTTTGTGTGCCGCTGTCCACAAGCTGCAGGTCCTGGCAGGAGCTGTCTCCCCGGAGGCGAGGGCTGCGGCGCAGCACCTGGATGACCAGGGGCTCCTTGGAGGAGCGCAACGCACCCAGGGTTTGCTCCTGGGACAGCTTGGAGAGCTCCTTCCCGTTGACCTGCAGCCAAGAAACGCCAGTAATAAGCCTGTCCCAAGCTCCGGGCCAGAGCCACAAGCCCCTCTACGCAGCCCACAGCCAGGGTGCTGCCCCATTCCACCATGCTGGCTGCCAGGACCAGCACAGAGTGACTATGCCTGCACTTTTGACCACTGCCAGGGCCTTCCGTGGCAGGAGGCGTCTCCTCAGCCTCGTCTTCCCTAGGCCTCACTTCCCCAGTGTGTGGCCCTCCAAACCATGACTGGTGACAGCCGCTAGGGCTCAGGCATAGGCTAAGAGGGGAGGAGACTGAGTCAAGGTGGAAAAGTATGGGAACACATTGATCTGTGGCAGCACAGAATGGAACTGAGGGGGTGTGGCCCAGCTGGAGGTGGGTGGGGAAATATGACAGACAGCTCGAAGTGACTAGAACCAGTTGGGTAGAGCTGCTTCGTGTTTGTGTCTCCCCCCCCC